GAATGTGATCCTCTCAGTACCAAGTCCTTTAAAAATTATATTTTGCAATAATAAGACCTACTTAAGGTTCACTTCATTCCGAAGTCACACACTCATTTTCACAATGCTTACTAAATGCACATGAAAGACATTCGACTGTGGGCTCCCATAGCTTCCAGTTGTAAAACCATAATCTGGGCTTTGACATGAGCTGTTTCCCCACCTCGTGTAATTAATGATGACTGACTTTTATGCTCTCACTTTCCCTCCTTCTTTTTCTTTCTGTCTTTTTCAAGTGAAAGACAGATTGCTTTTGAAGGGAATATTTGTTGATTATCATTGTGTTGCTGTAAGGATTACATTTAGGATAAAAAGTAATCCTAAAAGGACGTTTATATTGTATGTTTGTTTGTTTATAAAGAGAGAATTTTGCTATAGGGCACGTGCACTTGCCAGAGAGATAGAGACACAGAAAGTGAGAGATCAACCTCCGGAGGGATGGCCATGCCGCCATCCCTTCTCCTCCTCTTCGGATTTTGGGCACACACACACTTTTGTCCGGCATGGGTTTTAAGCCACCAGGTCTGGAACTCTAATGGCAGTTGGTTACATCAGAGTACAGAAACATAAGCATCATGCCATCTACTGGTCCTGAAATGTCTATTTTTGTTCCGCAATGTGAGGTCCTGTCCTAGTACATGGGAGGAATAAAAAAAAAATTGGGAAAATATAAATTATATGGAGGAATGAATGATTAAGCAGTAGAAACTCTTTAAGTGGTATCAAAACTAGGAGGCTTAAATGAAAACAGGGAAGGGGGACACTTTTGATACACAACTAACAGGAAAAGATGTCTGACTTCTCTTTGTAGACTGAGGGAATGTGTCACCCATGCGGTTGATGTGGTACTGAGCTAAACATTGTACATGCGGGGCCAGGGTAGAAGGATGACATAGCTGAGAAAGCTTAGGATAGTGATCTCGAATTGCTGTCCCTGGAACTGAGTGATTTTTGGAAGCAAGTAAACTAGAAACAAGAGAAAGCACTGAGGTATGTGAGTCTGCTTGGTAAATACCAGGACCACTTGTGGGGCTCACCATGAACCGAGCAAGGGTTTTAAAACCCAGATGCTAAACATGCAGTAATCTTGCAGCTCCCTTCATACACAATGATTGGTTTCCAGTGCAAGGAATGGGGAACGACATGAAGGGATTGTCTAGTGCGGGGTGGAAGAGGAGACACTCATGCACTCATTACTTACGTATTCATCGAGCGACCCCTGAAAGTCTAAGATGCTGCACCAAGCACATTCATAGGTGCTGGGAATATAGCAGTCAATAGTGTTCTCATGGAATCTACACTGACTAGCCAGAACAGCAATGATAATGTACCCCAAACAAATACATATTTTAATGCCAATGCATGCTTAAAAAAATCAAGAAAGGAGGGTGAAAAATGTCTTGGGTGGGACCAATAGGTGGTGTGGTAGTTAAGGCTCTGAACTCCCAAATGGCCAACCAGGGACAGAAGTCCAGACCTAAAGGCTTGACAGTCCCATGGCATGTGTGCTTGTGTGCCCAAAATGTTAGGAGGAGAATGAAGGGGAAGGGATTCTGGTGTGGCCATCGCCGTAGGAGAAGGGTGATTCCTCACTTTCCCTCTCTCTGTCTCTGTCTCTCTTCAGGAGCACATGTACTCTATGGCAAAAAATAGTTTCGGGTTGCATTTTTAGGTGTAATGACCAGAAAAATTGTCACCGAGAAGATGGCCTTTAAGAAAAGCAAGATAAAGTGGAGGAAACAAGCCATCAGAATATTTGGGAAAGGAGCATTTCAACAGAGGGAACAGTCCCAAGGACCAGAGTGGGTCAAATGACTTTAAAGCAGAGAGAACTGAGAGGCAGCATTAGAAGACGAGTTCAAAGAGGGTCTTTAACTCCATTGAAAGGACTCACCACTTTTATTCTAGTGAGAAGTAAAGCCATTGGCGAAATCTGGGCAGAAAACAGAAACAATCCCACCTATGATTTAATAGGAGCACTTGGCTACTCTCCTGAGAGAAGAGGGAGTTCTAAGGAAAGCCACTCGGGAGACTATCAAAATGATCCCCTTAGGAAGGTATCAATAGTTTCACAAAGGTGGTGATGGTATGAGTGGCCATCTAGGGCATCACTTTGGAAAGATACAGATGATTGTATTTAAAGCACGCAGAGTAATAGGTCTATCTTGCCCAGATATTTCATGTATTTAGAACAAAACAAGCTACAAAATTAGGGGGGAAAGTGAGAAATTTTGTCACAGTAAATTATGTGGCTCAATTATGTTTCTTATTTGGTGGCTCAAAACATTATAAAGTGCTGTAAGAGAACATGATATAGGGACCAGCAGATAGCATAATGCTTATGTCGCTAACTCCCATGTAGTCAACTGTGGTTCGAGTCCCAGATGAGGTAGCTTGAAACTCATGCTGCGTGTGTGTGCGTGTATGCCCCAAATCTCCAAAGAAAGGAAGAGAAGGAATTGTGGTGTGGCCATCCTCCCTGGCGGGTGATTTCTCACTTTCTATTTCTCTCTCTCTCTGGTGAGTGCATGTGCCCTATAACAAAAATCTTTAAAAAAAAACAAAAACAAAAATAAAATCAAACTAAAAGAGAGCATGATATAGCAAAACTTCACAATGGTTACTTAAGTGGCATATAGAGTGATGAAAAGCATGGCAGCAATAATACCAATATTACAATTCCATATTATAATATTCTAATATTACTGTTCTGAATATCACCTGATCTGAGTTTTTTACTGCAATACTTGGACTGTCGTGAATGACTACCAAATATTGGTTATGCATACTACTCTTGTCTTCATCATTGTTATCTACTCCCTTGTGCTTACCTTGGGAACTTACTGGGCCATATATGACCTAAAGAACTGTCAGAACAGGAAAACACTAGACTTAAATGAAGACATCTAGGGGCCAGCAGGTGGCATGCTGGTTAAGGCTCTGGACTCCCACATGGCCAGTCCTGGTTTGGGTCCCAGAACTGATGGCTTGCTTCCTCACTTTCCCTTTCTCTGTCTCTCTCTGTGGTTGAATTAAGAAAATAATAATAATGAAGCAAAAATTAAATAAATAATTCATTAAAAATACAAAAGTAAATTAAGGCATCTATGTTCAAGTGTGGTAGTCATGTTCCCAGCTTTGTCATTTATAGGTATTTAGGGCTTACTACAAATATTCAGTGTGTTTTCTCTTATACTCTAATTTTTGAGGAACATTGGTGGTATTACACCAAACAAGAATTCAAAACTTGGCAAAACTAGATGATTTTCTTTTAATAAGACTCGCAAATGTATTCTTCACTGGCAGGGACTTCTGGGCCTGACAAAGGCAATCAGTCTCACCGTTCGGCCCAGAGTTAGCATTTGCCAATCTCGTCTTGCTGAGACATCTCTAGAGAGCCAAGAAGTGATTCAGGAAATGTCATATGAAAAACCATGTGGGACAGATCAAGATTGACTTCGCATCACTCCACCCGTGTTGAAGTTACCGGGGTTATTTATTGGGGCAGAATTCTGAGAAAAAGATTCTTCACCAAGCCTGGAGTTTTGCTTTGACCACAGCCTGCCCCAGACTATCAGAAAATACTTAAAAACCTTTTCTTTATATATGATTTCAAACCAGTAGGAATTAACAATGGGAACAAGTGAAATGGAGACTATGTGAACATATGTGACTTTTTAACCAACTGTTAGAACTCTTTCTATATCACTCTAGCCACCTGACCAAGCAGAAGGGTACCCGGCTCTCCCAGCTATAGTTTTTTTGAATGAATGATTGAGTTTATATTTGAGTAGTCAAGTGCTTTTTTATGTACTGAATTGCAAAGAAATAGTATATCTTTTCTACCAGAAGACGCTCTTTAAATACACACGCATACACTTTCTGAAGCAAAAGAAAAGTTCGATTTCATGAAATTGCTCATCATGTTGCAGCGTTTGTCTTCAGTTTTGGGTTTCTATGATGGACGGAGCTGACATAACTCACTTCTGACTCTTTCTATTGAGCTAGGAACATGTTTCCGTGGCTGTCATTGGGAAGTAGATCCTCTCATGAGGAAATGCATTCCCTTGAGTCTCTTGTGCGAAATTTCTAAGCAGGAAGTTGCCCATTATCAAGAGGAAACTCTTGCATACGACCTGTACTCAACTTGTTATCCTGAAGCCAAGAAGATCCTGGAACAGGCTGGCACCCTAGTAGGCTATGAGTGTGTCAAGCACTCGTGTAGATTCGATTAGCAGGAGAAGTTGATTTTATTAATCAGAAATTAAGGCTTTGGCACTTGTCATAACTGCAAATAGAGATGGGAAACTCTACAATAATAATACTTTATGGATCATCGCTGTTGCTTTAGATACTCCAAATTTAGAATCTAACTAATTGGCAAGAATATGAGCATAACTCAAGAAATTTATTTTTATGGCTGGATAATTAAGCAAAGAAAATCAGGTCATAGAGATGTCTTTCTTGCCAGAATAGCATAGAGACACTAATTTGGGGCCAATTCTGTTATCCAGTGGTGGGGGCAGCCAAAGTCCCATCCCTGGCCATGTGGCTGGAATCCCCTTCCTGCTGCTTGGAAAACACTCCAGGCTCAGATGCATGTATGCCTAGAATCCTGACAGAGCAGAGCAATGGACTAGAAGGGACTGTGGTGTAACTATGTCCCACTGGGAGGGCCTTTCCCCTTCTCCCTCCCTCGCCAACTCTCTCTGCTGAGGGTAAACACCCCTGGCAAAGGAAATATAAAGATGTAATTTTTAAAATGTTAACTTTATTTATTTATTTTAATTTGACCATAGAGGAACAGAGCAAGAGTGAAAGAGAGAGAGAGAAAGTGAGAAAGCAAATCACCAGGTCTGGGACTCGAACTGCGGTCGGCCATAGGGGAGTTCAGCACTCTTGACCACCACGCCACCTGTCAGCCCCAGGACATAAATTTGACCTCAGAATAATGGGAAATGGAGCTCCCTTCAGCAGCTCATACAGTAAAGTTGGACTGATACAGAGAAGACTGCACGGCCTCTGTGCAAGGATGACACAAATTTATGAAGTGTTCCAAATTAGAAAAAAAAACAAAAACAAAACAAGGTACACCCCCATATTTTCTGAGCTGTCTTCCTGTAAGTTCTTTTCAATAAAATGTCAGCAGATTGTTTTTTCTCCCCAAGTTGCCAGGCCCGGGACTCAAACCGTGCGGCCAGCCCTGTGCATTACAGCTACTTCTATTATCAGGCCACGGGCTGACGGCAATAGATTATTACTTAAAAAAAGTCGTTCACACGCCCTTGAAACCTTGTGAGCAATTAAGCCACAGTCTAGAAAATAAAGATGACAGGACCAGCAAGAAGAAAAGAAAAGAAAATTGTGCTGGCCCTGTGTGAGTGCACTTTCCCAAAATCCCAAGAAGAGAATGGAAGAGAAGAGATTGCAGCATGGCTATTCCCCCTGGAGGGAGGTTTCTCACTCCCCGCCCCCCTCTCTCTCTGGTGAGGGCACATGCCCTATAGCTAAAACTAAAATAATAATAATAATCAAATAAAAAACAAAAGAGTAAAAAAATACTTTAGAAGTCAGATAAATGTTACAGAATAAATCAGGACATATTAGGGTATTCTTCCAACTAAAACAGTTACCATCTTTTCAACTCACTTTACAAATGAAAATATAGAAATGTGCCTCTTATTAGTTATCCAAGAAGAACCTGGTGGATCTTAGCAGGTTCTAAAATACAACCTAGAGCTCCCACCGTCAGATATAGTCCCTCATATAAAAATATATATGTGTCTGTGAGTGTGTGTGTGTGTGTGTGTGTCTGCATATGTATAGTGCCTCATATAAAAATATATATGTAAAAAAAATTCCTCCCAATGAACTTACAACCATTCTATAATGTTTAAAACTAAAGAATGAAAGTAATGGACCAGCAGTTAGTGTAATGGCTATGTCGCTGGACTCCCACATAGTCGACTGCGGTTCGAGTCCCGGACCCGGCAGCTTAGACACATGCTGGGCGCTTGTACATGTGTGCCCAAGATCCCGAGAGGAGAATGGCGGAGAAGGGATTGCAGCATGGCCATCCCCACTGGTGAGTGATTTCTCGTTTTCTGTCTCTCTGTGTCTCTGTCTAAGAAAAACCCCTCCCCCCCCCCCCCCAAAAAAAAAAAAAAAAAAAAAGAAAGAAAGAAAGCAGTAACAGTGTGTGGATTTTTTTTTTTAATATGAGCTTTAATAAGTAGATCTTTCCAGAAGTGAGTTTACTGTTATTGGTAAGTGGCTGTTCAAATAATTGCTAAAACTGGGACCAGCAGTTGGCACAATGGCTATGTCGTTGGACTCCCATGTAGTCGATCACGGTTCAAGTCCCAGACCCAATGACTTAAACTCATGCCAGGCACATGTGCGTGAATGCCCAAGATCCTGAGAGGAGAATGGAGAAGGGATTGTGGCATCGACATTCCCGCTGGGGATGATTTCTCGCTTTCTGTCTCTCTGTCTCTCTCTGTCTTTCTGGCGATTACACGTGCCCTATAGCTAAAACCTCTCAAAAAATAAAAAAACACACACTGAAAGAAAGAAGTCATTGCTAAAACTAACACTACTAGAATTTATTGGCTATCTACTCTGTAAAGCATATTGCAAGTATTCAGTGATAGTAGTGGGATTACCCCATTTTGTAAACAATAAAACAATAGGAAATCTAATCAGTTTGCTCAAACTCTCCTTTTAGAAGGCTGTGAGTGAGGCTCACACCCGGAGCTTTGGTCCACTCTATTCACTGCTTCCTTTAAAGCTTAGACAATGTTAGGTTGGGTTCATTCATTCAGATTGACCTCCAAAGTACAGTTCTAGGAACTGAAGTATTGTAATTCATTCCACAGCATGGAAGAAAACAACTCCTAAGATCAGTAACCTCCCAGAAACACGAAGCTCGAATACGGCTGGCCTCCTCCACTCACCTTTCTTATTCTGTCTTCTCTCATGGTCAAGAGACAAACTGAATAGCCCTAGAAACAGAGTGTATTATGGGGCGCAGGATAAGCTGAGACTCACGGGCGCTGGTCTCTCGTCCGCCCTTGTGAAGCCCCATGGAGTCCATTGTTTAAAAATCAATTCCTACATCTTACCCTCACATCCACCTTCATTGTGTGTCATCAACTCTTTTTTTAGTAGCTTACATATAACCATTGTCACAGGAAGTTTTTCCTAATTCATACGGCAGATGATGAAGTTTAAATTTGAGGTTGAAAATTACAAAAAAAAAAATTCATTCTAAAGTATGTGTATGAAATAAACATGCTTATAAACACAAGAAATGTGTTTTTAGTTGCATTGCCATTAAAACTTAACAATTAATGGGCCAGCAGATGGCATAGCAATTACATTACTGGACTCCTACATGTCCAACTGAGGTTCAAGTCCCAGACCTGGTGACTTGAAAGTCAGGTGGGCATGTCTGTGTGCTTGCTCAAGATTTCAGGAGGAGAATGGGAGAGAAGAAATTGTGGCATGGCCATCCCCCCAGGGAGTGATTTCTCACTTTTCTTCTCACTGTCTCTGTCTCTCTCTCTGGTGAGCATTTGCACACTAAGGCAAAAATATCTTTTAAAAAAACCCCACAATTTAAATTAGATGAAGTCACTTACACATGCTAAGTCCCATGGTCTCTGATAGCCCAAGGATTTTTTTTTTGGAAAGGTTTTCGCTATAGGGCACGTGCACTCGCCAGACAGACAGAGAAAGACATAGAGACAGAAAGCGAGAAATCACCCTCCAGAGGGGATAGTCACACCGCAACCCCGTCTCCTCCATTCTCTTCTCGGGATCTTGGGCACACACGCACACGCGCCCGGCGTGAGTTTTAAGCCACCGGATCCGGGACGCAAACCCCGGTTGACTACGTGAGAGTCCAGTAACATAGCCATTATGCTAACTGCTGGTCCCTGAGAGCCCAAGTTTTTGAACAGTCTGACTGCCTAGATTAAAATCTGTTCTCCATTCTACTGGGTCTCTTCAGGTACACTATATCTTACTCATGATCTAAATAACAGAAATAGAGTATCTACCTCATAGAGCTGTGATGTAAATGGAATGAGTTAGCATATGAGAATCCCTTAGAACAGACAATAGTGCTTAGCAGTAACTAATGAACAATATTATTATTTTTAAATCTACAAGTAATTTAATACATACATCGCATTGTATGTCAGATACTGAGGAACTAGCTGGAGATTGTAAAAAAGAGTAAGACCAGGTTCCAACCTCTTTATCTCTTTTTTTTTTTTTTTTTTGGAGAGGTTTTTGCTATAGGGCGCGTGCGTTCACCAGGAAGACAGAGAGAGACAGAGAGACAAAAAACGAGGACTCACCCCCCAGGGGGGATGGCCAGCCATCCTCCTTGTAATTTAGCATATAACATGTAGACAGATACAGCCATGAATATATTTGTCATGAAACAAATATTAGCAAGCATGTTTCATGACATGGACGAGAAAGTGATTTACCCTTATGACTTTATAACAAACTTCGGTAACAGAGTAAGATTTTAACCGAGGGTGGGAAATGCGAAGAAAGGTTAACGATGAACACTGAATAAACAGCAGGTGCAAACCCACGGACTATGAGGGTCCGTCGTGTGTGAAAGGTGACTGAGGGAGTGGATGTGGCCGGTGGAGGGGCGTAGTGTAGATACCAATTTCTGTCTTACATGCATCGCAGTCATCTTCAGGATAGAATAGTCAGGAAGGGGGTTAAATAGAGAGAATGCACGATCGTATTTGTGTATTAACTCTCCCTCTCTGTGCACTGGCTTTCTATTGGATAAAAAACAAACGGTACAGACTGCCTACCAGGTGGTTGTGATTTATAATAGAGATAAAAAGATACGAAAGAAGAGAAGAAAGAAAAACGATGTGGGAATGATGGCCTCAGTTTACTTGATTAAATTCCACCTTACATACATTCTCCAGACCTCACCTCCTCATCAAAAAGAAAAAAAATAAAAACCGGCATGGCCGTTAAGGCTACGGATTCCTCAGGGCCAACCATAGTTTGAGTTCTGGACCCAGCAACTTGAAAATCACACCAGGGACTTGTGTGCATACCCAAAATCCCAAGAGGAGAATGGAGGAGAAGGGGTTGCAGTCTGGCCATCCCTCCTGGGGCTGATTTCTCACTTTCCTTCTCTGCCTCTTTCTGGCAAGCAAACATGCCCTATGGCAAAACCTTCAAAAACTACTGTAACTTTTTGGACTAGATTCTCTGAAAAACAGTTGCTAATTGAGCATAAATAGTGTTGCTTAGGTCCTCCCACATTTTATAGTGCGGTCTCAGATGTTATTGTACTTTCTCTAGTAACAAAAAGAGAACGTTCTGCAGGGTCGGGACCCTTCTATGCAAACTGTAACGGCTACAGAGAGTGTCCTAAAGGATCAGTGTGTAACAGTGAAAAGCAGCATCCTTGTTTCTTACGTCGGCATGGCTAACTGCATGCATAGTAAGTAGCAGCTCAAATGGGGCTGCTGTGAGTCTGAATTTTTTTCATCTAGAGTAAGGGACAAACATTTGGCCATATTTCTTTATCTTTTCATTTGTAGCTCTACTGGAAATAATAGCAAATGCATGATTTCATGTTCTGCCATGAAAGTCCGTTTTGATTGGAAAGTTTATTCCTCCTTCCCAACCGTCCCAGTGTAACACCAATTGAAACCAAGAAATTCTAGATGCTATGACGAGCCTGAGAGTGCTCCCAATCTGTCTTTCTCCTATTTCAGAAGAGCAACTTATGGCTCCAAGAGGTTTAGTGATGGGTCTAAGGCTGTTAGGGAGGAGGGAAGAAGGGGGAGATCCCCACGTACCTGTGCTTGTTTTGATCCATTGCATCGCGATGGTCACTTACTGTAGTCCCTTAGAACTAGTTTCTGATTTTTTAATAGCATGTACAATGGGATGGAAGATGTGGAGAGAAATTCCTCTCCTTATATTTTTACTGAGAAGCAGAATGCAGTAGTTAGAAAGCCAACCCTGCAGCTCGGCAAAAAGAGAACATTGCTCAACAGAATCAGGTCA